TAGCAACTGACCGACGACGAGTTTTGAAGGTAAAAGTGTGCACGTCGGTATCCCGTTATGGGACCACCGCTTCAGGGTTGCAGTAATTTCGTAGCGAGACGAAGCGGCAGGGACCGATAGCAGAAGATCTGCGGATGTTGCAGTTGCTGAGACTATATCGCTCGCTATATTTATTTTGATGGGTCTTGTTTTTTTTATTATTGATTATTTTATTTAATTAATTATGCAGCCCGAAGTTATTGATGTGCCAAGTTTCAGAGGTTGCCTCGTTTATAACGTTGGGGTCGCGACATACGGTCGGTCGTATAGAAAAGGGGAGGAGGGCCGACATTTGGCTACCAGGGCATGAGCAGCCTCATGCTGCTTGTTGGCGAGCAGAGAAGGGGACTGAGCGATAGTGTGGGTGTGTTACTGTCGTCTGCGTGTAAGCGCGTTAACTGGTCTGGGGACGTACTCTGTCTGCCTGAGAAGTGCTCACTATGGTGCGGCGTAACGGATTATACGGCTATAGGCCGAGATGCATCCAGTTCCTCTGTAGGTGGGAGCGGATGTCAGGAGATGGGCCTACAGTGACGGCTATAGTAGACTATAGCTATGGCAGACAGGAGGCAAAACTAAAGATAAACGTAGAAGAGGGGAGAGAAGAGGACATGAGAGCGGACCCATACTTGCAGATGACAATTATGGAGGCTAGGGACCGTGCTGAGAGAAGGTGAAGGCGTGACGGGGTCACAGACGAGCTAAAGGTGACCGTGTCGTACCTAGAGGCAGAGACCTCAACCTGATACGATAGAACGGGAGCAGCAGCACCCGGACCGTGACACAAAGGCGGAGAGCGATGAGAGTGACTTGGAGGCCACGACCCTGTCCTGGCATGTGTGGGAACAAGGGGAACGGGACCACCCGTCGTCTGGACCGGTGGAGGGCGGTCCAGAGGCCAACTCGCAACGACGAAGAGGCCATAACTGCTAGACTAATGTGCGGGAGGTCAATAAGGGACGAGGGTGACGAGACTGGACACGCTAGGTAGTTACGGGACAGTCGTGTGCGAAATCAAGAAAGAGAGTGGACAGACAAAAGGAAGGGGATGTTGATGGAGTGGTCTACGCGAGTCATTCTGAAGGAGGAGGTGTGCTTCGAGTGATTAGTAGTAAAACGGCGTGACGAGGTCTAAGAAAAAAAAGTCTGAGGGAGAACGAGTGATGTGCTATCAGGTGTGAGAGGGCGAAGTGGCACCTGTTACATGAGGGAGAACGAGTGATGTGCTATCAGGTGTGGGAGGGCGAAGTGGCACCTGTTACATGGAGATGTTCTCTGACGACTGAGATCTGAGCCACTTCAGACCACGAGAGTTGTCTTACTCATGAACTCACGCACTCTCTCTGAGTGCGAGGATGAGGTCGGGAAGCTTTCTGACGCGGTTAGTTAGTTCATCTCGGCAGGGAGCTGGCGTGTCTGGCCAACTCCAAGAAGGACGGGTGGTAGCTGACGCGCTTTTCCAGTGTTGTTGTTGACGTCATCATTGCCTCTTGGAGTAGGTGGGGGATGAAGCTTCCGTCTCCTACACATAGTCAGAGAACTTCTCATTTCTAGAACAGTCAGACGGAGGACGACAGATTGTACCAAGACCTACCTGTAGCACTGGAGAAAGAAGAAGACAGACAGTCGCGACATGATGTGAAGACGGCTCCCTGTCAGCGCCACCCTTGTCTTGCTTCACCTCCCTATCAGATCCAAAACTCGTGCTCGTCCTCTTGGGTTGTGTTTAGCGTCATGGATACTTGAATGGTTGGGCAGCCTGTAAAGAATATCGTAGGAGTATTGGAAGTTATCCTCGGGACGAGACTTTAGTCCGTACTCGAAGTGAAAATACGAGTCACACGGTAACCAATATCGAAAACCATGCATCTATACCCTCAAACAAGTAAGGGGCACGCCCTGGGTGAGAGCGCTGCTAATAGTGCCTTGTAAAGGAGAAACAACAACATACATAGTGTGACCAGAAGTGATATGTACTGCCCTGTTGTGTCAGTAATAAGCACAGGTCATAGGACCAGGATTTTCTTGGAGCGCCTATGCTTAATCTTGATACATTCTCCTGGATACAGCATCGTGCTTATAATTTGATTAGATTCGAAAAAGGATATAGCTAGTTATTAACCTTGTCTTTGCGTAGAACCCCGCCCTTACCTGCACTGTTCGTACCCTTGCAACCATCATTGGTGTCACGTGCAGGTGTCAGATGAGTGAGAATCTGGGGTGATTTGAGGTTTCGATCGGGGTGGGGTGAAGTCAAGTAGATGGGGAAGCCGCTTAATAAAAAAAACGGTCAGGATAACCTCGCCACCACAATTCTCGTTTCAGTGCAAAAAGGAAAATCAGCTCCATACCAGGCACAGATGTATAAACGCGGGCACGACGAAGAAATGGAGAGATCACCACCATCTTTTGTTTCTTACTAGAGTACGACACAAAGTCCTAGATACTTTGAAAAATGATTCTGTCAAATCCTTGATTCTTGGTCTTAGCCACACATTCAACATTTCTAGTCGATTGACAGATCTTGACTACACAACCGATGAAGTCCCACACATCACCGCAACTAGTCCGCTCAAGCTTGAGGTTCTCGTCGTAGCAGTGTTCGAAGGATCTTAACAGTAGTCTTGCCTTTGTTGAGTCTTCGTCATTGGTCTTCGAACAACGAACAAAAACCGAAACGTCGTCAACAATGCGAAACCCCTGTACCAAAATTCTGTAATTGCCAAGTGCCTGAAGATGTTTAAACTCAGAATAGGCGCATAACAGGCATGCTAAAGCAGGGCTAGACGATTTGCCCATTGGAATACCAACAACTTGCTTCAAGAACTTACCCTGAGCACGGATGAAAGTATGGGATAGTTCAAAAGAAATATACTGGAGAATGACAGAGAATCGAATTAAAATTCACCCTTCTTCTCCTTTGCCACGGGTCAACTGAGCTTTCTTCCCAGTCTTTTTTATCATCACACCAGAATAGGAGGAAGAGTCCAAGTAGGAAGTTACCCACCGTAGAGCCCGCAGGATTGAATCATGAGGTAGGTGGGAGAACATTTCTATAATGTCAAAGGAAGCTCCAACAAACGAATCATCTTTCTCTTTCTTCGTATTCATCAGCTGCAGACCAGATAAAAGTTGACTGGTATATCTTAGATTGAAGTGCAATTCAGAAGGTAGCTTCCACAATATCTCATTGACAGTATATGCCATGTGCCGACCACTGAGCGTCGATCCTTCTATATACGAAGGACAGATGGGTCTCTACCATTCAACGTCTTTATGTTTCAGAATCCCGTACGCGTTACCAAAGCTGGCATCGGAACACCAATTTCCAATTTTTGCAAACCTCGGATTATTGAAATCACTTTTGACCGACAAAATGACTGATTTTTCCGAGTCCTCAACATCAACGAAAGCAGGATTATCAGAAAAAAAAACTCCTCATTCCTTTGTTATAGATGACTGGGCAACAAACAAATGTACCACCTATATTATGGTCAATCGGTGTACACACCAAACCATCTAGCTGTTGTTTAATACATTCCAACTGATCTTCCGAAGGGGAGTCACAAAATTCGACAGAAGCAATAAGACAGCAGGCAAGATCTCGAAGCAAAATAGAAGAAGTTTGAAGATCACAAGAGTGGTGGAAATCACGAAAAGAATGAAGAATCTGCTTCTTAAGAGTACCAAGAGGATTAATAATGCCAGGTTGGAGAATATTTTTCGAATTCTTAATCCAAGAGGGGAAAAAATCATACTGACTAAAACGAAAGAAGACATGACCATTACTTATTGGAAACCGATCTTTGGACCGATCACAGCAACAAACTGCCTCAGATTGACGAGAGAAGGAACAAAAATTATGTAACAAGTCACCAACAGATTGATTTTTGCACCATACAACTCTCATACGTCGGATTATTATTCGCTTCCAATCCTCGTGGATATTAAGAGTGCGTACTAAATGACCACAGATCTTCCGAATCTCAGTCTTGCACAATCGATGGTTGTACTTCACATGTACAACAAGCCGTCGGCGAACTGGAAGGTCAAACTTAGAAGAAATAGCTCTTGAGAGGATTACTCGTAATCTGCTTCTACTACGTTTTTCTTAAAAAGCACGAATAGTAGAGAATAACGAAATGAGATCCCCAAGTCCCCATGCAGTAAGAAACCGTCTTCAACTTGTATTACTCAGCAAGCTAGCCAAAAAAGGCTTGAGATGAAGAATTTTTTGACAGAAAGGAGTAATCGAAGTAAAAGATAGGAAAACTCCGTTACGTAGATATCCCTTTGATGAACGAAGTTGATCAGTAACTCGGTCACATGAAACAACAGACGAGCCGAAACAACGTTTCAAAAGCTTCCAATTGTCTTCTCGAATCGTACCTCCACTACAGACAACAGAGCAAGAAGATACATTCAACTCAACCTAATGATTCAGAATGCGTAAGAGGCTAGTTGATATGATACCAGTAGAAGAATGAAAACGGAGCAGAGAAAACGAACAAGCAGCTAGCTGTAAAGGAGGCAAGGAGCAAGGGGGATCAAATGTGCAAGGACCCATAGAAATAACTTTAGATCGTTTCAAGCGTTCACGTTTTCCTGGACGTCGACGTTTACGATTCTTCTTCTGGCTTGTAAAATTAAGGGAGGCACCGAACAATTTAATAAAATAACGCTCTAATCGTAATCGGTCTTCTTCATAACAGAAACAGACAGGAATAATGGCAAAGCGATGGATACCAAATCTCTGAGTCTAACGATAGAGTTTTTCATTACGAATACTATTATTTTTCGCCGCCTGGCAACAGGAACGGTACACATGTTCTCTCCAACATTCATCAAGACTTTGACTCGTACTTCCGACGTACAGATTACGGCACCACGGAGAAATGAGAACATAGACAACAGACCGTTGAGTATTAAAATTAGAGTTAGCAACACTCCACCAATCACATACATGTCCAGTCAATTTATCAGCCCATGGAACACAACTTGTCAAGATAAGCAATAAAACAATCAGTTGAAACAACTCGCCTATCCCTTTGTGCCTGAGATTGTGAGAGGAAGCTGATCTTAAAAGGGAGCAAGAAACAACAGTCGACCAAAGGAAAGCCGCATTCGGGGAGGATCCTAAGAAGTAGCATCCTCAGCGTTTGCGGGCGGCCCCTTGTTCGAGGGTCCAGCAAAATCCTCCGATACCTCCAAATCAGCCTTACCGGGATCGGGATAAACTTTAGCAACACAAGCCTGGATAATGTCTTCCACCGACTGCTTAATCGTAACATACTTCAAACCTTCTTTCAAACAAAGCTTCGTAATCTCATCATTTTTCTTGTAGCAAGGTCCTTGCGTTGATCTTTGACAAACTGCTGCTTCTCCAGAGCACGTGCGGTCAAAGGATTGGTAACAGTCTTTTTCTTCGTCAGGCCTGTAGATCGAGAGGCCATCTCATTCATTCTCCATCGGAGATTGGTACAGGGTTCACGTTGCGTGGCTTCCAAATCAGCAATCGCAACTTTGAGTCGTTCGTTTTCTTGTTCTCGTTCCATTGTCGCCTTCCGTGCTCCATCCATAGCAATCTTCAGTTTTTCGTTCTCCTGTTCTTTCTCCCTCCTGGCGTTGAAGTCAAGGACGCGTAGCTCCTTCAATTTTTCGACCTCCAAGGAATGACGATGTACCATCCCGACAAACTCTGTGTTAGTCTTGGATTGAGTGCGAGTGACCGGTGAAGGAGTAACCGCTGCGCAGCCACGTTTGTTGCCTGGACGCAGCGCTTCGTTCTTCCAAGTCTCGACCTCCTGGAGAGCTTCATCCCGCATGGTGCGCATCAAGGCCATATCAGCTTCCAAACTCTCCAATCGTTTCTGCGAAGCCAAAGACTTCTCCAACCTTGCTTTCATGTTCTCTTGTTCTTTTAGCAGCTGCCTTACTACTTCATCACCTTCGGCCGTGGCTCGTTGAGTTGACGTAGAAGCTGCAGGTCCAACCATCTGACCTTTAAGCCCTTCGATCTCTCTCCGCAACTGTTCCATCTCAGATAGCCCCTTAGAATCATCCTTCTTATCTGTCATCCTCCCACACATCTTCTCCCACTTCTCATTCATATCATTCATCATCCGCTTATGCATATCTTCTCGTTCCTTACGATCTTTCTCTCTTCGTTCATTATCTTCAACAGTCCTCTTCTTCCTATCCTCTTCCTCCTTAAGGTTCTTCTCTTTTTCCACCTCAGCATCATGTCGTGACTTGATTTCAGCTACAGTGTCCTCTAGCAAAATCAACCGCTGTTTGGCCTCGTACCAGCCATTGTTGCGAAACTGCCCAGACAAACCAAGACCGGAAGAGGAGGAAGACGGAAGAGAAACGGAGGAGTTAGAAGGAAGAGTAAGGAGAGGTTGGGAGCCAAAGGTCTGTCCTCCATTTCGATGAGGACACCAACGAGAGAAATGCCCTGGATCTCCACAGTTATAGCAAGTCCGAACGATGGTAGACGCCTGCAGATTGGAAGCCATGTAGCCAGTAGCAAGTGTCGAAGCCACGCCAACGTAGTGTAATCCCTACGTGAGTTACTCTGGATGTACAAGTTGATTGGTCAACGAAGGTGACAGGAAGCAGACATACAAACACCGTCAACGAAGTCGAAATAGCAGAGAAGGATGATGGACGAGAGGGAAAGAAAGAGGTAAAGACGAAGGTAAAGAAGATGAAGAGGAAAAAGCCAGGTCAAAAACCAGTTTCCGTGAACGTGACTTGAGATCTTAAAATTGATCGTGAAAAGCATGAATGGCGGAAGACCCGACCGGTTTCGACTGCTCCGCCGAAGCAGTCTCATCAGCTATTGGCCGGAGGAAAAATAGAGCAGAAACGTTTCTAGTCGGATGAATTTGGGCGCTCCTGTAGTGGCCCGTATGGTTTCCTCAAATTGTGGCTTGGAACTGGAGGTTTCATAGACCCCACAAGCCCCATGGCTGCTACTGCTACTAAGAGAACTGGCCCCCAATTCTGTGCAGTGTTGTGTTTGTCCCCATTCACCCAGCAAGCAACCCTCTCAGTCTTGGAGCGTGGTGCTGTCTCTTATGATTGTTCCCCAGTTCATGTCGGCAAGGGATACCCTACCTCCACCCTTTGGAACCTGGTACCGTGGCATGTGGTTTCTGGTGGCCCTGGTACATGAGATGGTTTGTGGTGGGGTCCCCTCCGCACTGTTCCTCATTCTAGAGGGCAAGCATATCTAGGCTGTTAGAGCGCAAGCCTATCTAGGGTAATGAAGCAGGGTCCATATCCTCTTTCGTCCTGCCCCGTCCAAACTCTGTGACCACGTCTTTGCCTCTGCGGCAGGGGTCCCATGTTGTGTTTCGCAGATACAGTGCTTCGACGAGCCGGGCGTCCTCCGGGCCGCGCCTCCACGCCTTGCGTGGTGTAGCAGTCTCTCAGTATGCGGGAGATGTACCGCCAGGGATCCCCTGAAGGCTGCGAAGGCCAGGAGTCTTTCATGCGCTACATGCGCTACATGCGCTAATAAAGGGCGTCGCCGCACGGGACACGACACGAAAAACGAAACGAGTGCATCTTCCTGCAGAAAATGGCCAGGTTCATCGGTTTGCTATAAATAGTAACGAGTGTACTTCGCCACCTTTCGTGGGCAGATGCACTCGTTTCGTTTTCGTTTCGTGTGCCGTGCGGCGAGACCCAAATTTACCTGTTCTCTTTCCCCGGCAAAACGTGGGGAGTCTACCCACGCGTCCACAGAGGCAAGCGGAGCGATCACACTACAGGGCCATGCTTGGCCGCTACCGAACGATTTGTACGTGGCGTTTCAGTTCCAGCCCACGCCGGCCAGGGTAATCTTCTGCCTCATCTCACAGGACGTGGTCCTTATCAGACAGGGTACGTTTAGGCGTTGCTACCTCAAAGGAGGGTGAAGACGCGGAGCGTCAGAGCGAAAAGGTTCACGAAGTGCACAGCTTGCCGGCACGCTGTTCGTATTCGAAGGAAAAGAACGAACGCCAAACTCTGGGGCAGCGAGGAGGAAAGCTACAAGCAATACCTGCCCTACTGTGGCAAAAGGGTAAGCGAAGAGAAGATTTGTTCGGAGAGCGAACGGAGAGAGACGAACGCATGGACGTCGAGGACGCGATTTGAGCTGTAGCCTTGCGGGAAGGAACTGGCAGTGACGGGAGATGTGGACCGCACGAAAGAAGGGGAAAGACGCGGAGCGACACGGCAGAGAGAAGTGGGAAGGTGGTACCTAGAAAGGCGGACGTGGGCAAAGTGTTAAGCTTAATGGAGAATAAGCTTGGGAAACCACCGCCTGTGGCGTGACTGCGTGCGGTGAACAGCCCGAATGTTGGGAGCAGGGAAGAGAACGTGCCAAAGCAACGCGAGAGGGGGCCAGAGTGGTTTATCTTCAGAGAACTGGCGTGCAATTTCCTTTTACGTTTACGCCATCGCAATTGTCATCGCCGTCGCCATCGCAATTGTCATCGCCGTCGCCATCGCAATTGTCATCGCCGTCGCCATCGCCATCGTCGCGGAGAGCTGAGTTGTCAATGTTATCCCGAGAGCGAGCAAGAAAGAACGCACGTAGCCATCACGAGCAGGAATATCATTTTGGCTATCTAGTCCGGAGTACGTAAGTGGAAGAGGACAACCTCGCAGGTGCGCTGTGAGCGTTCTTGCTTCCGGTGCGCTGGATGGGGATAGTGAGGCAGTCTTGTCCTCGTCGTTGGCCGATCCATGTTCTTTTGATTCGTGAAAATCAAGATTTAATTTCGGCGTCGTGAACCGAAAGTTGTTCAGGGGAAGGAACCGTTGGCTGTCGATTATGGAAGCCTAGTTCACTTCCCGGGCGGAGGGTTCACAATCAATCAACGAGTCGATATTGTGAACTTCCGACGGCGGCGTCACAAAATCAATCGGCGCTGCATGCAACCCTTCCCTAGTTAGCTTGTCTCTGGCCAGTGTACGGCCGAGTTGTCGCGTACAAGCGTGTGTGTTTTTTCGTTTGCTTGCGACTCTCTCTCCTATGTGTGTGTGCGGGCGCGCGCTTGTGTGAGCGCTTGCGTGTGTGTGTGTGTGTGTGTGTGTGTGTGTGTGTGTGTGTGTGTGTGTGTGAGAGAGAGAGAGAGAGAGAGAGAGACTTGCGTGTCTCTGTTTGCGCTGTCTGTGTGTGTGTGCGAGAGAGAGAGATTGGTGTGTCTTTGTGTGTGTGAGAGTGATCTGTCTGTGTGTGTGAGAGAGTG